GAAAAGTGAACAAGAATGGACAGTGTTGAATCTTGGCGATTGCCTGGGGAAGACCCTACGGTTTTCTTGGCAAGATTTCAGAAGTGGTTTGCCATTGCCTCCTTCCTAGGGCTGAGAGTGACTGGCCCAGCTGGCTTTGTGCCTAAATCAGGATGAGAAGTCCCAGTCTCCCAGTTTCTAGCCTGATGCTTTAACCATTGCACTACACGGATCCTTGAGACAATATAAAATGAAGAAATGGGGAGGGACTTTCTTTTTTTCCCCCCCTACTTCCCTCTTTCCAGGATTCCCCTTTCTTACAAGGATCTAGATTGAGGGGGCCTTCTTCGTAAGAGGAAGAGATTTGGAATACAAACTTGTGCAACTGGCATTCAGATAAACCTTAATACAGTTTAAGAATTCCAAAAGAACACATTCACTGTCTAGAAAGGTATACCACAAACATCACTTACCAACTAGATCTAAAATCGTGGCTCCTTCAGCTCTAAGAGAAGCAGTAATCACAACACAAATATATTTGCCCTCTTCATTCAGCTGTATTTGTGGAAGGAAAAGGGCGGCATTTCCATTTTTTAACTGAATTGTATCCAGCCTTGAACCAGCTCTATTTGAAGAATGTTCTCCAGCAATAACTGAACAAAGTTTTTCTATTTTATTCCCTTCAGATGTTTGCAAATACCAGATGAACGTTGTTTTTTTGATATCCAGTTCTGGAGGAGGGTAATCAGAGATCTCACATTGAAGTGTCACATTTTTACCCAAGGTTGCTGTCTTCCAAATTGGCATGCTTATTTTCAAGGCTTCTTCACAAAAGAAATGAAAACAAATGGATTACAGATTATGATCAATTGTACCTTCTTCTTCCCTCTTTTCCTCCCCTCCCAATTCTCACATTTTATAAGGAGTATTGCAATGATTGAATGGCAAGAGACGGAGAGCAATAAGAGATCATAAAGATTAAGTGGAATATTGACTACTTTTGGAATAAGGCAGAATTTGACAAGGAGTTACACAATCCAAATGGCACAATTGTGACTGCATAATTACAAGCAAATTCAATATTACTACAATGGATAGTTTTGTTTTTCATTAGCTAATTACAGTTCAATCATGGTCCAGCCAGTGTTTCTCAACCTTGAAAATTTTAAGGCATGTGGACTTCAACTCCCAGAATTCCACAGCCAGCAATGCTGGCTATGGAATTCTGGGAGTTGAAGTCCACATGCCTTAAAATTGTCAAGGTTAAGAAACACTGAGCTAGAATATTTCAATAAGGAGTCAATTGGCATCAATGCAGTATGACAATAATGACACAGAAAACTCTAATCCGGAGCACCCAGTTCTGGCTTAATAGAATGTATGAACTCAGCCCCTGTGCAGAAATGAGAAGACAAGATGGAGCAATTTACTAAATTTAAACCAATCAGCAGTTTATAACATTACAGTCTTTAAATCTCCTTACGATACTCATTTAACTACCATCACCCCATATAGTGTCTCTTGTAAAAAGTACACCTGTAAATTAATTTCACAATGATGAACAAGTAGCGTATGTGTTTTTGTCAACAGTAAAGGAAAGGTCAAGGTAACACCTGTATTCTGAGGCTGAGTTTGATTAAATAATGAACATATTGAATTAGATTTAGATAAGCATGACCACTCAGGTTGTACTTCGTGGTTTATGGTTGGGAGTTCTCAGTAGACCAGGATTCTGTTACTTCAAACAAGGAGTTAATATAAATAACAGCGGAATAGCACGAAGCTATTACTCTTGAGTGGAGCTCGTTTCAGATTCATACACAGACCCAGAGCACGGAGTTTAACGAATAAGGGGGCTCGTTTCCTGTGAGGAATAAGTTACAAGAATTCACCTTTGCTCTGGGCGAGAAATGCATTTTGCCAAATGCGCCGGCGCTCGTTGAAGGAGCGAGGGCAGGTAGCTCCGCGCCAGAGATCCATTTCTGACTTCTTAAAGTTGTGTCCACTTCCCTTGCGCGGTCGGCCCCGTTTCTCCTCAAACAGCCGCCGCCC